TCTTAGGCTGTTCATATCTATCTATCTATCTATCTATCTATACATACATACATACATACATATATATATATATATATATATATATATATATATATATATATATATATATATATATATGAGCAACTTTCTAGACCTACACCAAGATGAGATAAACTTTAAGACAGGAATCATGTTTTATTTCTAAAATTAGATACAAAAGTATCACACCAAATAAAATAATAACTTTAGGTACCTTTCGACCGATTCATCTGCCGAAATTTATATCGTCGGTATAAAACTAAATTGCCGAAAATAATTTTTGTTTCTAACAACCGAATTTTAAAATAGCACAAAAGGGTGAAGGGATAGGGAAAAAAATTAAAGATTTTCCCTCAATTTGGCTTAGAATTTGCCACGGATTCAGCGAAACATGTGAGCTATTTAATTTTCTCTACTTACATAGGGTCGAACATGTGCAGAACAGAGAAGAAATTCTCAGAGTAGCCAGTCCTTGAAGCGACTGAATTCAATAAATGTTCACCGATGGAGGATTCATGAACCTGTAAGCGTCCGGATGTTACAGGCACTTGTCTATGTATTTGGCCCGAGACATGCTAGCCGATTCTAACCTCCAACCGCTGGATAGTCTTATCCACGTAGCCTCACACTGACATTTTTATTGATAAACTACTAAACTCTGCTGATGTATAGAGAAGACATATAGAGACATCCTTATGGACAGAGGGAAAAGACCTGGTAGAAAAATTTTCCGGACTACTACCGAATTAAAACACCGCCTGACCGAAGAAGATATTTTAACAGCGTATACCTGACTACTGGAATCAATCCACGGTCGTCTCACATATACAAGATACTTAGATGAACCAAACACTAGTTGACTCCGTTGGATGTAGATTTATAGACAGATACATATACTAGATATATAGACATATACATAAATATACTTATATAGATATGAATAAACTGCATTAAACACACACACACATATATATATATGTATATGTACACACACAGATCTGTACACACATACACACACACACATATATATATATATATATGTACACACACACACACATATATATATATATATCTGTACACACACACAGATACACACACACACAGATATATATATATATATATATATATATATATATATATATATACAAGAGGGTGGGCTGAAAAGTTAGGCTATGAAGGAATGATGATAGAGCTGTGAAATCTTGCATGCTTTAATTCCAACTCTTCTTAATAATAACTGCATTGTTTCTTTCCGGATAAATTGACACCTGACTGCGGAAAAGAAGACTTAAAAGATAACAATAGTAACTTCATTTGAAAGTGGACAAAAAAATTAGCATCGTGATACTATCAAGTACCTACTGAAAAAAAAATTAGCCCCCAAAGGATATTCATGCTGTCATGGTTGCTGCATTAGAGAATTAGGAGCTGACACTCCAGCTTCATCAACAGTGCAAAAGTGGGTAGCTGATTTTAGGAAGGAAAGGGTGAGTCTTGAAGATGATCCAAGATTTGGATATCTTGCTACTGCCACCACCGAGGAAAACATTGATTGTATTCACCACATGGTAATGGATGAGAGACGATTGACTATAAATCAAATAGCCAATGCTATTAGCATAGCTCGTGAGAGAGTTGGGATTATTCTGTACAATAAACGTGGCATGACGAAAGTTTCTGCTCGGTGGGTGCCACCTCTTCTGATAGCTGATCAAAAGCGCACCAAGCTGATCATATTACGGAAAAATATAATAGATCTAGCTAGTTTCCTTGAACGTTTCCTAAACCAGGATGAATATTGGGTTCACCACTTTGAGCTAGAGACAAAGAGATAATCCATGCAGTGGAAAAAAAACCCTTCCTCACCTGCTGCAAAGAAATCCAAGGTCATTTCATCTGCAGAGAAGATGATGGCTTCAGTTTTTGAGATGCAAAAGTCATTGAATTTATTGAATATCTTCAAAAGGATCACACCATCAATAGGAAGTACTATGCCATCTTGCTGGGGCCGTTACGAAAGGCTACCAAGATAAACGCCTTGGAAAATTAACGGTTTTGTTTCATTAGAATAATGCTCAAGCCTTGGTTTTCATGACTGCAGCACGTTACCGTGTCTTTGAAGTGGTTGCCCCCTTCCCTGTTCTCCTGATGTGGCCTCATCTGACTGGGATACTCGAAGTATATGTAAATACATCAGTAATCGTAGCCCATGTAGAAATGTTTTTATTTCACAAAACATCTATTCAATGTTCAGCATACTTCCTTGTTAAAGTGCTTAATTCAACTGCAAATGCTAATTATTTCGATCGAAAATTATGGCATAGGTATGTCCAATATTTTGCTAAAAAAGAGCATACCCTGATGAAAAAAGGCCCCAAGCTTTATAAACAATTTTTATCGTCTAAATGGTTATGTTATTATTAAGACGAAAGATCAAAGCATTTTTTGATTATTTTTTTTTTAATTTTTAAATATGGAAAAGACATATGGGTTTCTGTAAGAAAAAGAAAGAAAGAAAGAAAGAAAGAAAGAAAGAAAGATGATGCGATGACGCTCTCATGTGTTTAACGTCTGATTCAGTGAAATGAAAAACTTATCAAATCTTTTTATTTGCACCCTTTTACTTTTTTAAATATCGCTCTAGTAAGTACCTGACTTGATGCTATCCTTTACTGTTACATGAGCCAGATCAGGCCGAAAATGGAGTATTGCTGCCATATATGAGCAGGAGATACCCACTTTCACTTTCCAGTTTCGATAGATATTTTCCACCCTTTTCTCACTGATAAAACGTCACAAGTTGCTCGTTGCTCTGTCATTATTTATATTGAAAGTGTTCAAACGAACTACATTCCTTATTCCCACCAGTTCTAACCTTCACAGTTAAGAACCGCCATGCCCCGCACATCGTAATGAAACACCCTCATTCTCTTCGTATTTCATTGGTGAAATATAAGTTCCACTCGAGCAGCTTCTTTCAAGAAAAGCAGCTCTGTCGAATCAACTCCCAAGAGGATGCTTCCCTGATCACTAAAATCTTAATCTAGGGTAACCGTTATCTTCACCACATATCCCCATACACTGTGCCTCTTACTCGGTAACCCTCTGTCTCGAGTGACTCCCGGACCTCTGAACATTATTGTAAAAAAAATAAAAATAAAAATAAGGACCTTTATTCATACTTAGAATTGTTATTGTAATATTTTTGTTAAGTTTTTAAGATCAAATATTAAACGATAGAAAAGAGGAATTTCCACGGGTATTTTATTTATAGGCGTCGACCTCGCAAGGAGCTGATTCAATCATTACATTAAGAAAATTCAGATAAGAATACTGTGAATTTCTCAAAGGCACGTTTGTTTGTTTAGCGGCATATCAACTCCTTATGGGTCATTTAATGTCGAAATTTAATTTTCTTGCGAGCATTAGTAAGTTCTTTATTTCCGGTATTTTTATTTCAGACATGTATTGCTGGTATTTTTAATATAAAAATCTATTTTTAAACTTTCATATTGTTTTGACCCCAGTTTGAGGCTTAAGTTTTTGCTCATACCTGGCACCCTAACGGGTGTAACCACTCCACGTCAAGGTGGGCGTGGTAACAGCAAAAAGTAAGAGGTGGTTCCACGCTCCTCAAAACCTCCCGATCAGAGGCCTTGCACCCGGATGTAGTTTGTCGTCATACCCAGGATGATTCACGAGTACCCTGGTAAATATAGAACTAATATTATATTGATGTATTGTAAAGTGTTAAAAAAATCAAAATTTTCCTCTGACTGATTAGACTCTCGGTGTTACTTTTTGGTTCTCCGTGGCATTTCGAAGAGCACTTGGGTCACTTGGAGTTGCGCGTCAACCTTCCCTTATTAAAATGAGACAAGTTATACTGAGTTGTATGATATCAACAGCAGGAGTAACTGCTTGGGAAAGGCAAATTCAACATAATACGAAATATTCATTCATTTCTTTTCATTCGTGTGTGTGCGCGTGAGCGAGAAAGAGAAAGAAAGAAAGAAAGAAAGAAAGAAAGAAAGAAAGAAAAATAGAAAGAAAGAGAAAGCAATGTCAGTATATAAAAATTGGCTAAAGACATTATTGTAATGATTAAAAAAAATTTAAAAGTTTAAAATTTCAGTGTCCACTCTCCTTCGTGTGCATAATTACAACAACGTACAGATCACTTTAGAGTTCGATGAAGTTCTAAGGGACGAAACGCGTTTTTCTACTTTATCATTTAATTTTTCTAACATTTAAATATCAATTAATCACGAATCATTTCACTAGTTACTTTGAGAAGTTTGTCATGCGTGTATGTCTATGCTGAACCAATTCATTGCAGTACGCTGTCCCTAAAAAAAATCACAAAAAGTTTTTTATCAAATTTTTTAGCCGAAAGTAGCATACGTGTGGACGACACTGTGGAGATGGAACACCGCATCAGTTCGCTCACACCGTATCATAACAAAAACATCAAACACCAGTGAGACTTCATTGGCTGTCGGGTTACCTCCTTGTCTGTCTGTGAGGAAGAGTACACAGTTTGAGCAGAACTCCATCGCACGTCCAATGAATGCCCAATGAAAGAGAAACAGACAGACTTATTAAAATTTACATAAAAATCCTTATCATTGATAATCCAGTGCTATAAGCATTGGTAAAAACAAGGAATATTTTCTACTTGTCGGCCCTAAAACCTTTTATTCACGACAGGAATTTTCACTAGATAAAGTAACATTCACCTCCTGCTTTTCCACGTTTTATTTCTCTGCACATGAAGATATTTACTGGACTACTACTGCTACTACTACTAGCCTTACAGTCAGCCCCAAGTCGAACTGATGACGGTTTTATCACCATTAATCTGTTGTCTTACTAATTGTGCGTTTGCATGGTAAGGCTTTACGCCTTCTGGACTTGTATGAGTTGTACACGGCGCAGACATGCAGTGGAACCCTGACCCCAAGGTTCTGAGAAAGTTCTCCATGGGAGTTCGATCTAGACCGTTCAGGGTCGTCGTACTTGGACAAAACGGTGTCGGCAAGTCAGGTAAGAAGAGGATTCACCCTATTTTCTCTTTCTCCCTTACCAACTAGTGTCAGTATTTTCTTTGTTTTTTTTTTTATTGTATTTTTTTGTGGTTTTGTTGTTATTGTTGTTGAAGTTGCGATCGTCAAATTCATTTTTAATTGTATTTTTCCTTTTGATATTTTATACATTTTTTTGTTTTTTCTTACTTAGTCTTTTCGTATTTTGTCCTTTTGATTCTCCAACTTTCCTCATCTTCTTCTTCTTCTTTATTATTATTATTATTATTATTATTATTATTTTTTATTATTATTTCAGTTTTTTTGTTGTTATGGCCACATTTCATGTTTCCGATGTTTTTTTTTTTTATTGTATTTTTTATTATTGTATTTTCTGTTTTGTTGGGGTTTGTTGTTTTTATAATTCCAAGTTACGATTCTTGTTTTCAATTTCCACATTTTTCAAATCCAAATTGTAATTTTTTCAATTTTTCTGTCTGATATGGTTAATCCCATAGAATGGGTGACATCTTCTATTTCTTCTTTTTATCTTGTTTTTTTTTAGATTTGATTAACTAACAGAACTTATTTTATTATTCTTAAAAAGACTCTGGTCTTGCGCTGCGAAATTTCAGTCTTTGCTCGTAACCATCGATGAGTATTAACTTTAAACATTGGGTTTATTATTATTATTATTATTATTATTATTATTATTATTATTATTATTATTATCCGAGCAAATATAGCAAACATTAAAAAATTGTTATTCATCACAAAAAAAAAAAAAAACAATTCATAACAAAAAAGAGGGTAGCAAAAAATATATATTTTCTTAACCGTTTAACGTAAATTCGTAGTAACAAAATATTATTATTATTATTATTATTAGTATTATTATTAATCCTGGCACTATATTAGCCATTGGTACTACTAAAAAAAAAACGAAAAAACTTCTACAACTTATTCAGTTCTGGTAAGATCAAGATAACTTACTATCTTTTCACAGTTTTTTTTTTTTGAAATAATAATAAATTAATAATAATAACCAGGTATGCCTCTCATAGCTTTTAATCTTAATTGATTGATTTTTTTTTAATCTACTCATATTTTATCTTAATGAATGAAGATGTGCTACACTGAATATCCCGTTCATTCTTCTTCTATGTCCCATATCACATATATGTTGGCGATCATGGCTCTTCACAACTTCCTGCCATTTGTAAATGTCTTTTTACTAAATCTTGTTCTGCCATCCATTTATTCAAGTTTGCTAGGTAGATTATGCATTGTTTTCCTCTGTCCTTCCTGTCTTCAATATACCTTGTGAATATCAGATTTTCCAAGCCGTCTTTCCTCATGTGCCCTAGAAATTTTAGCTGTCTCTTTCTGTATAAGTTTCCTTTTTGTTTTCATTTTCTCTAAAACTTCGTCGTTTCTCACATGTTTGTTTCATGGTATTCTCAGCAACCTTCTGTAGAACCATATTTCTGTTGCTTCAAGTCTTTTCTTCATGTGTGAGGAGATTGTCCAGCATTCCCTGCTATATAGTAGGATTGATATTAAGTAACAGTTCAGCAATCTTTTCTTTGTTTCTATGGAAATTTTCTTTGCTTAGCTTTTGGAAGGCATCTTCCGCAGTTCCATTACGTTTTCGGATATCAGTGTCGCACTTTCCGTCCTCTATTAAAATACTTTCCATATTTTTAAATTGTACTTTGATTTTAGCATCTTCAATTTGTAATTTGCTTGTTGGGTTGTACCTTTTGCTGAGGACCGTACAGTCCGTCTTCTTTCAACTGATGTTTAGTCTTTTCTTTTTGCTTTCCTTTACTGACTTCTGTACTTCTTGTAGTTTCCTTTCTGTGTCTGCTATCAACATCGTGTCATCTGCGTATCTTATGTTGTTAAGATTGTGGCCGCCAATAATGAAACCCGGGACAACTTCTAATTCTCTCACCACATATTTACTTGTTAGTTGCCTGACATAATCTCGTTGGACATGCCACTAGGGGCTGATGTACTGTGCATTCGTATTCATGAGTGGGATCGAGATATTGAGAGGGAATGTTTTTCCTAAGTTTGAAGGAGGAGGCAACCTAGGCGATCTGGAAATCATATTTACATACTTGCGAATATCGAAAGCTCTTGACAAGGATTGTCATACAGGTTTTCTCTACAAACTGAAAAGTTACGGTGTCACCAGAATTGATCTAGTCTTTCCTGGCAAATTGTAAAATGAAAGTTATCTTGAACGGTCACTTGTCTAGATCCGTTCGTACTAATGCGGGTGTCCCCCAGGGCTCAATCCTTGGTCCTACTTTGTTTTTAATTTTCATTAATGACCTTCCCGGTGGCATCAGCTCTCAACTCGCTATCTACACTGATGACACAACAATTTACTCCTGTCTCGATAGTAAGGCTGATCTGTTTGATAAGGTCAAAATTGCAGCTGATCTCCAAAACAACCACAAATCTATTGTTAACTGGGGCAAAAGATGTCTTGTTAATTTTAACACCTCCCAAACTAAGCTGCTTTCTATTAATCATCTGAGAGAACCCCTCTCTGTTGTCCATCAATATGGCTGATGATAACTTCCAGGAAAGTGACGAACATTCTTGGCTGACTTGAAGTGGAAAGGCTATATTGAATCCATTGCTAAGTCAGCTGCTAAGAAAGTTGATTCACTGTGTAGTGCGAGGCAATTTTTCTCTCCAGAATCTATCATACAAATCAATACGTTTACCATTCGTCTATGCTTAGAATATCACTGACACATATATTCTGGTATCCCTTGAGCTCTTTGATAAAATCCAAAGAAGAATATTATCAGTCCGGCTCGGCTTCAGTCACTTTTCCACCGCCTTAAGGTTCGCTATGTGCCCAGACTTTTTTTTTTTTAAATGTAAGCATAGTACTAGACTGATGTCAAGATCTCATCAATTTACAGTTGAGCTGGTTAGATGTCACCGTAAATTCTATGCTAACAGTTTCTTTTTTCGCACTTCTCGCTTGTGGAACTTCCTTTCTGCCTCATGCTTTCCAGTCAACTTTAATCTCCAAAAATGTAAATGCAATGTTCTTGATGTGGTCAGATGACCTTACAAGTGGAGGTCTTTTATCAGCGTACTCGTATTCGTTGGTGGCGTCAAAATTAATATGATGGACGAAGTTAGTTGTTGTAGAAATCTGCTTCAGAGCAGTCGGTTCACTACCATTTGCTGAACTGACATGTAAACTATACCGCAAAAGCCCAGCAACTCTCAAGTTATTTTGAAGCCTTTTTTAACTTCTTGACGGCAAGCCTTTATGTTTTTTCCTTTTGGCCACTGACCAAAATTATAATAGAACTATTTCATTGTTTACTATAAAACTTAATTGGTTTTCTTGTCGTTTTAATTGCTTTTCTTTATCTTATTTCTTTTGATGTACACGTGATAGTGTACTATTCTCGCATTCAATAGTAGTAATAATTGACTTAAGAGAAAAAAAGGCCTGTTCCATTGGAGAAGTATAGATGATAATCGTGTTGTTGTTTTTCTTCTTTGTGCCGCATCTCTTTAGAACATAGCCGATCATAGCTCTCCACAACTTCCTATCTCGTGTGGCTTTTAGCAGTTTTTTTTTCTTTGCTAAGGCCCCCGCGTCCTGTTCCGCAATCCATTCACACAAGCTCGTCAAGTGGCTCGCTGCCTTCTCCTATCTCGCTGGCCCTCAATATGATGCCTCGTGAAGTTTTCCAAGCCCCTCTTCCTCATTATTTCCTGATTCTGAGTATAAATGCTCTTTCCGATACCATTTTAAGCCTTCTTTGTTGCTTTACACGATCCGTCCATGAAATTTTCATTATCCTTCTGCTACCTCCATTTTTCTCCTTGTCCTTAGGGAGATTTTCCAATATTCATTGCCATATAAGAGAATAGATATCACAAAGCAATCCAGCACTCTTTTCTTTGTTTGTTGTTTCTAACGAAATTTTCCAAGATATTTGAACTTCACCTGTTGCTGTTTATATTTCCAGTTCGTAATTCGCGTCTTGAACCGTTTTTCTTCCTGATGACCATACTTTCTATTTTCTGGTAGTTGATAGTCTTTTTTCTTTTCTTTTTCTTCTTCTTTAGAATCAATATTATTTAATTATTAATTATTAATTATCAAGTGAAGATTATTCTTATTTAGCAAAAAAAAAGAAAGAAAGAAAGAAGCTGAACTCTATTGATGCGTTAGTAGATCTACCAATAATTATTATTATTGTTGTTGTTGAATGAGAGAGTAGCACATCAGCAAAATAACACCGGTATACAAATATACGAAATCAAGCATACGCATCATGGCAGTTTGATAAGATTATACCAGGTACATGCATCACAGCCAAATGTACGCGATATGAAGGTTGATTCACTGCGTCAGAATTCATCTTACACATTTATAAATCTACCATTCGTTTGTGAAATGGATATTGCTACCACGTCTGGTCTGGTGCTCCGGCTATATATCTCGAGATTCGTGACAAAATCCAAAGAAGGGTCTGTAATATTATCAGTCCTGACCTGGCATCTCAAACATCACTCACTTTCCAACCGCCGTTACTTTCTTTTCCATAAATATTTTCATGGGAGTTGTTCTAATAAACTCTTTTCCTTGGTACCTTGTCCGCATGAATTTAAACGTACCTTCTAGATGACAAAGGTAGGGCATAATATTCCAGATCGAGTAATCCAGTCCTTAGATGAGGTTGTTTCCAAGTACCTAGATATGTATCCTAAGACATATATAGATTTTTAAAAGATTTTTTAAAGTTTTTAAGTTTCTTTTTTTAAGTTTTCTTTTTTTTTTTTTAGTAATTTTTAAAAACACTTTTTAATAACTTAAAATATAAACTTTCTCAAAAAAATAAAGCCCATTATACTCATCATGTCACTTAGATAAGAGTATATCAGGCAGATTCAACACAGTCAAATGGCGAGAAGGTTTTTTTCTTTATAAAAACAGCACATAACTATATAGGTGTGGCTCAGTTCGAA